CCCATATAGCCTGGTTGATCTGGCACCTCTTGAAGACTTCCATACTTGTCCCAGCAGTGTTTCTGACATCTTCTGGTGAAATATTGAATAGTCTGGGGCCCATGGATGTTGACAGTATTCTCTTATTGTGCCAGTTTTTCACCAGGTATATTTTCCACTTCCTCCCACATCTCATTCCAGTATGTTATGGCAGTGTGCAGATCTGTCAAAAAGCCCCTAGGTACTTTTCAGGTATATTATCATGCATTCTAAACTGTTGTATCTGAGTGCCTCTGCACAGACAGTGATTATGTATGAGTGAGGTGAAAGTGTTGAATGATTATGAAAGTATTTTCTTTTTGGGGATTTTCTTTCTCTTTGGGTCACCCTGCCTTGGTGGGAGACAGCCGACTTGTTGAAAAAAAAAATTATCCTGCATCTCTCCTCTGCTCCAGTTAGTACATATTTATAATTTTAAGGTGTTCCAGTAATTGAAATGCTTTACTGGCTAAGCACGTGTTACACTGGCACATAGCTTTAAAGATATAACTTTCATATTTATTTAACCTTTGTTTTGGTCGTATATATACGTCTTATGAGCCAATGTGTTTGATGCATATATACTCAAAAATTCTTGCGGCTTCAAATCAAGCAGGAGAAAGCTGGTAGATCCACATGTGAAAGAATGGGTCTGTGTGGTCAGTGTGCACTGCACTACAGCACGCAGTGCATAATGAGAAAAAAAAAAACTCTGACCGTGTTTTTGGATTAAAACTCCGACTTTGAGGTGTATTTTCATATAGTTTTTATGGTTATATTCTCATTTTCGTAGTCACAATTGAGAGAATGGAAAATATATTATAGAAATAGAGTTGATTTTGATTGGTTTTACTATGAAAAGGACCTCTAAATGGAGCTCAAAGTAGGGGAAATGTTTGATTTTTGCCGATGTTCAAGAGTAAACAAATGATGTCATTGTCCAATAAATGTCCAACTAGCCATTCTAATATGCAGTCATGAATGGGTTGACATTATTTATACAATTATTACAATATTGCAGTAGTTTGCATAACAGTAAATCTTCTATTTTTTGTTTGAATAAAAATTCAAAATAGAAAGCAAGAGTAATATCAGAAGGGCCTGGACACACGATTGATGAACAAAGGAAATGTTATTTTAGAGCCAGGAATGTCTGCATTGTTCATTCTGAACCCCATTTTGAAACTGGCATTTTTTAATTTGTGTGAAATTGGCCAAATTGCCAATTTCTGACCACTTTATTGGGTAGTTGAAATTGGTAAATGGGCAGTTTCTTGTACTCAATCGATAGAACAAATGGAGTATACAGTGGAATCCTGAGTTTCAATCACCCTGAGTATCAGCCACTTTTTTCAGTTAAATCTTTTCCCAAGTTTCAGCCTGTGCCCCGTGTTTTGGCCGGCGTACCAGACCTGTCTTCCTGCCTGCCCAGGCATTGTGAGCCAGTCTAGCTTTGTTTATCCTTGAGTGAACATAACCCTGCACACTCATCCAAACATTTCACAATAAATTCATTGTGTTTAGTGCTTGTTTATTGATTGTGACTATGAAATAAGCCCTCTTCAAAGACCATAACAATGTATCTACTTCATCTACTAGGAAAATGATAGGATGGATAATCAGAACTTTCAAAACTAGGGATGCCAAGCCCATGATAATTTTCTTCAAATCGCTTGCGCTCTCTAGGCTGGAATGCTGCTGTACACTAACGGCCCCCTTCAAGGCTGGCGACATTGCAGACCTGGAGAGTGTACAAAGAATTTTCACGGCACACATAAGTGCGATAAGGCACCTAAAATACTGGGAACAGTTGAAGGTCCTTGATCTGTATTCCCTCGAACGCAGGCCAGAGAGATACATGATAATATACACTTGGAAGGTCCTGGAGAGATTGGTACTAAACCTGCACATGAAAATCGCTCCATATGAAAGCAAAAGACTCGGCAGAAGATGCAACATTCCCCCGATGAAAAGCAGGGGTGCCAGGAGTACACTGAGAGACAACACAATAAGTGTCCAGGGCCCAAGACTGTTCAATTGCCTCCCAGCATACATAAGGGGGATTACCAATAGACCCCTGGCTGTCTTCAAGAAGGCACTGGACAGGTGCCTAAAGTCAGTACCTGACCAACTGGGCTGTGGTTCATATGTCAGCTTGCATGCAGCCAGCAGTAACAGCCTGGTTGATCAGGCCCTGATCCACCATGAGGCATGGTCTCAGACCGGGCCACGGGGGCATTGATCCCCGAAACCCCCTCCAGGTAAACTCCAGGTAAACAATAGGCCCAAAGAAACTTCATAATGGCAGCCCTTTGGTAAAGAAAGTGTGAAACACGTTAGAATTGAAAAAAGAAATTCTAGCAAAGTACCAAAGTGGAGGAGGAAGAGAGAGGGGAGAATGTGCCTTCTTCAGTGATTCTATGATATGTATGATACTAAAGTAGCACGAGTCGATAAAGGCTATAGCACCAGCCAGCGATAAAGTGTAGCATTAACAGTGTTTACCTGGAGAGAGTTCTGGGGGTCAACGCCCCCGCGACCCGGTCTGTGACCAGGCCTCCTGGAGGATCAGAGCCTGATCAACCAGGCTGTTACTGCTGGCTGCACGTAAACCAACGTACGAGCCACAGCCCGGCTGGTCAGGTACCGACTTTAGGTGCTTGTCTAGTGCCAGCTTGAAGACTGCCAGGGGTCTATTGGTAATCCCCCTTATGTATGCTGGGAAGCAGTTGAACAGTCTCGGGCTCCTGACACTTATTGTATGGTCTCTTAACGTGCTAGTGACACCCCTGCTTTTCATTGGGGGATGTTGCATCATCTGCCAAGTCTTTTGCTTTCGTTGCGAGTGATTTTCGTGTGCAAGTTCGGTACTAATCCCTCTAGGATTTTCCAGGTGTATATAATCATGTATCTCTCCCGCCTGCATTCCAGGGAATACAGGTTCAGGAACTTCAAGCGCTCCCAGTAATTGAGGTGTTTTATCTCTGTTATGCCCACCGTGAAGGTTCTCTGTACATTTTCTAGGTCAGCAATTTCACCTGCCTTGAAAGGTGCTGTTAGTGTGCAGCAATATACCAGCCTAGATAGAACAAGTGACCTGAAGAGTGTCATCATGGGCTTGGCATCCCTAGTTTTGAAGGTTCTCATTATCCATCCTGTCATTTTTCTAGCAGCTGCGATTAATACAATGTTATGGTCCTTGAAGGTGAGATCCTCCGACATGATCACTCCCAGGTCTTTGATGTTGGTTTTTCGCTCTATTTTGTGGCCAGAATTTGTTTTGTATTCTGATGAAGTTTTAATTTCCTCATGTTTACCATATCTGAGTAATTGAAATTTCTCATCGTTGAACTTCATATTGTTTTCTGCAACCCACTGAAAGATTTGGTTGATGTCCGCCTGGAGCCTTGCAGTGTCTGCAATGGAAGACACTGTCATGCAGATTCGGGTGTCATCTGCAAAGGAAGACACGGTGCTGTGGCTGACATCCTTGTCTATGTCAGATATGAGGATGAGAAACAAGATAGGAGTGAGTACTGTGCCTTGTGGAAGAGAGCTTTTCACCGTAGCTGCCTCGGACTTTACTCTGTTGACTACTACTCTTTGTGTTCTGTTTGTGAGGAAATTATAGATCCATCTACCAACTTTTCCTGTTATTCCTTTAGCATGCATTTTGTGCGCTATTATGCCATGGTCACACTTGTCGAAGGCTTTTGCAAAGTCTGTATATATTACATCTGCATTCTTTTTGTCTTCTAGTGCATTTAGGACCTTGTCGTAGTGATCCAATAGTTGAGACAGACAGGAGTGACCTGTTCTAAACCCATGTTGCCCTGGGTTATGTAATTGATGGGTTTCTAGATGGGTGGCGATCTTGTGTCTTGGGACCCTTTCAAAGATTTTTATGATATGGGATGTTAGTGCTATCGGTCTGTAGTTCTTTGCTATTGCTTTACTGCCCCCTTTGTGGAGTGGGGCTATGTCTGTTGTTTTTAGTAACTGTGGGACGACCCCCGTGTCCATGTTCCCTCTCCATAGGATGGTAAAAGCTCGTGATAGGGGCTTCTTGCAGTTCTTGATGAACACGGAGTTCCACGAGTCTGGCCCTGGGGCAGAGTGCATGGGCATGTCATTTATCGCCTGTTCGAAGTCATTTGGCATCAGGATAACATCAGATAGGCTTGTGTTAACCAAATTCTGTGGCTCTCTCATAAAAAATTCATTTTGATCTTCGACTCTCAGTCTGGTTAGTGGCTTGCTAAAAACTGAGTCATATTGGGACTTGAGTAGCTCACTCATTTCCTTGCTGTCATCTGTGTAGGACCCATCTTGTTTAAGTAGGGGCCCAATACTGGACGTTGTTCTCGACTTTGATTTGGCATGCGAATTATCCCCTAGACTCAAACCACATATTCCTACGAAATATCGTAATAGCAGGTTATGAATGATCTCTATATTGGTTCTAGCTCTGACATCTCGTCTTGTGATGAACGGAGCCGTCAGTACTGAACAAGTTTTTACCTAAGTAGATTTGCCAATGAAGGTTCAAATCAACCAAGGCTTAATTTTGCTTCTAAGATACAGTACAGTCTCTTCTCACTTAACGGCAGAGTTCCATTCCTAAGACCACGTAGGTAAACGAATTCATCGCTAAGTGAGGAGCATACTATAATGGTAGAGAGTTGGTATCAACCATCTTTGATATTGTTTTAATGTCACCTTTGCACCATTTATAAAATTTTTAGTATATTTTTAAATGTTTATAAAGTAGTGAACTGTATATTGTAATAAAGAGAACAGAGGAAATTAGCTCTAATATACATTATTTAAGTATGTATACTGGTCAGAGAGCCCGCCGTAAGTCCAAGCTGTTGGTAAATGAGTATATCGCTAAGTAAGGAGAGGCTGTATTTCAAAAAGTTTGTCATGTAGAGTTATTAAATTCACGCACTGATAAAAGTAAATGGAGGTACAGTACTTACCGTGGTATCCAGACGGGGGCTTTGTCATTTATAGGTGATCTGTCTTGGGGATGAGACTTAACAGGTAAATTTTTAGTTCTCCTAATAGCTTGTTTGATATCTGCTATGGCTGCTTCAACACTTTCTCGACTTTGACCAACTCCTCCACCTTGACAAATGAAAAATCACAAATATGCATTAATTTTTTAAATATGATTAAGAGATATTAAAATTTGTAAAGTCCAATAAAAATTGAGACTGATTAACATTATTATTTTATAGCTTAAAAAGAAACCAAAGATAAAAGATAAATCAGGAACACTCATTTTTCCAATTCTTATAACTAAGACATAACAATTCATACTTGTAAGTTATTAGTAATTCACATGAGTACCTGGCTATTGTCCTCATTCGCCTAAGTAGTGCTGTATGACCCTAGTGGGTTTAGTGCTTAGTTATGATTATAATAATAATAATAATCATTCACCAGGCTACAGTATAACATATGTCATTTACTACTCATAGAAGCACTTAATTTACATGTCCTCACTACACACATTTCCAGACTCATTAATTTCTTTTCAATAAATGGGTGATAATGACTATTAAAGCCTTAATAATCAGATACTGAAGGACAAGCATTGCAATGTATTCTCAGTATTCCTCGCAAACGAAATCACAATGGTATTAAAAGGCACAAATACAACTATTTTCAATTCCACTTAAGTAACAGACAACATGTAGCCATTAATGAAACTTCAACTACCCTTCCAATGAAATTAGGTGTCTCTTAAGGTGGTATTCTGGGCACTCTTCTTTCTCTCCTCTACACTAATTGAAAAACCAGCTGCTGTCGCCGACTATATAAACAGTATATGATTAGTCAACAAGTGTGACATGATGATAAGGTTTGTTGACTGTGTGCGTAGAAGTCACAAGTGGTATATTAAAGTGTTTTTCCACCTTGTAGACATTATAATGCTCAATGCCTTCAACATGTACGAAATAGCAGATGCAAAAAATAGGGTACCACAATGCACACTACATCAAAACTATAAGACCACATCAATACTATGTTCTGTATAAATTAAAAAGAGGAGACATAATCTAGGGAAAATGAGGCAAATAAGTGATCAGCCTCGGCTGCAAAACTGCAGAAGTAATACCAACGAGAACTGCAGTTATTTTTAATTTTTTATATTCTATGGTACATTTTCTACTTTGAAACCTTGCATATAATGAATGGCTCTTGCCCCCAATTATGTGGGATTTACAGTGATGCACCATACTTAAGCATACTGATAACAAAAAAGGCACAATACCATGACTGGCACAATACAGAAGAGAGGAGCTTATGACGACGTTTCGGTCTGACTTGGACCATTTACAAAGTCACACTAACGAGAAGGAGAGCAGAATGGGTATATATAGGCAGGAGGTGGTGGTAGTAGTAGTAGTAGTAATGGAGGTGGAAAGAAATAGTAGTGGGGAGGTAGTAAGAGTAGGAGGGGCCAGTCAAATACTAAGAAAGAGGAGCACTGCAAGGGAGCTGGTGCCCACAGAGGGTAAGAGCAAGAACACCGAGGGGAGAAAAACAAATAAGTAAATAAAGAAGGAACAAATACACAGGGCAAAGAAAGACAACCCAGAGGAGAAAAAGGAAAAAGGAAAGGGGAAGAGGGAGAAGAAGAAAAAAGGAGGAATCAGGTTAGGTCATGAGTGTTCTGAAATTTGGCGCATTTTACAATGTAGTGGGAGAGGAAGGCATCTACAGAGATGAAGCCGGGACTAAGATTCGTACAAGGAAAGTTGTGTATTAATACTCCAAACTTCAGAACACTCGTGGCCTAACCTGATTCCTTCTTTTTTCTTCCTCTCCCTCTTCCCCTTTCCTTTTTCCTTTTTCTCCTTTGGGTTGTCTTTCTTCTGCCCTCTGTATTTGTTCCTTCTTTATTTACTTATTTATTTGTTCCCCCCCCCTCGGTGTTCTTGCTCTTACCCTCTGTGGGCACCAGCTCCCTTGCAGTGCTCCTCTTTCTAAGTATTTGACTGGACCCTCCTACTCTTACTACCTCCCCACTACTACTTCCTTTCACCTCCACTACTACCACCACTATTACTACCACCACCTCCTGCCTATATATACCCATCCTGCTCTCCTTCTCGTTAGTGTGACTTTGTAAATGGTCCAAGTCGGACTGAAACGTCGTCGTAAGTTCCTCTCCTCTATGTGCAGGTTATTTGTGTAAGTACACTAATGAATGCAGGAAGCATCTTAACATACCTGGGTTGTGATGAATGTCATGTGCTGCTGGGTGACCTGGGACCATGTGTGGGGTCACCTTATGTTGCACAGGACTAGTAAGAGATCCCATGGCACTTAAGAGGTGAGGACCAGAACTTGCACCTGAAACTAAGAGAAAAACAATGTAAATAGAGAGCAGTCTTCAATCTGCTTTGCATAAATCTGCAGATATTTCTAAAATCAAATATTTTATTTTGTAGACTTAATCAAGGTCAGGCAATTGCATCTCTACACAGGCAAAGTTGAACACCTATCAATTTTCATCATTGTGTCCTCCAGCTGCATTTTTAGGTTTCCATTACATTATTAAACTCTAAACTCAATGTCTTTGGGCTACGAACACAACCAGCACTTCATGACCCCACTGGGAACATAACCAGCACCTCGTGACTCCACTAGGAACACAACCAGCACCTTGTGGCCCATTTAACTCAGTTTTACACACCACCAATTAGGACTATATTGCACTTTTCTGCACTGTGTCTTTTTGCCCAACTATTCTTTTTGGTTTTCAACTTTTGAGTAAGAGCCAACCAGTTACCAGGCAGCTTGCCAGCCAGTTAAACAGGTGACAACCAGTGTACATCAGCTGACATGTGAAAGTAGTAGTCACTGTGAGCCATCAAGGCCTTATGCAGAAATGTGTTTTTCATATAATACCTACAAATCATGTATTCAACATTTGGAGTCTTATAGCACCCTAAAAACTCTACCACCAGTATCCTAAATCATGGTGATGGCAATTATAACATGGAGGTTGGTAATCCAGGTGCCTCGGCAGAAAGAAAGGAACTCGACCTTCAAACTGGACACTTTTTCAAAACCAAACTTCTGATGAGTTTGTCTAGCCCAGATGCATCTACAAAGGATCTCTTATTCTTGGTTCTTAGCAAAACCCCACCTGCAACCAGACATTTTAAGTCCACAGCCTGCTAGACAGAAATACCTTGAACATTGCCTACATAACTGTACCTGAACAATAAAACAGGTAGCAAACCTCATACAATATTCTCATACCCCCAGACTATCAAGATCCAACAGTGACAGGATCTGTAGATAAATATCATCTAGACTGTGTGAACATACCACTTGGTCATACATACATCATATTTCCTTTAATTTATATTGGTATAAGATATAATTGTACCATAGGACTATAGACATGAGGTCCAGAGAGGAAATATGTTAGATGTAAAGTTTAGAGTCCCAGTCATGCTAGGCTGGCCCATTTCCACATTCCTTGGTCACTTTAATACTGTACCGTGGCATAGTCAGCCTTTAATTAATGTCTGGAGGAATATGGTTTTATTTATAATGAGAAAGTTTCAGGTTCATATGTTTAATGGGAGGGGTTCAAGGAGGTTTTGTGTGTGAGGGGCTTAGGCATCCAACATGCACATGTGAGCATGTTAGATAGAAGTGGCAACAAGTGGTTTTTTATAATTTTACCTGCTGTTGGAGTGTGAGCAAGGTAACATTTATAAAGGGATTCAGGAAAACCAGTTAGTCAGACTTAAATGTAGAGGACCCCAATAGAAATAAGTCACTCTGTCTGACTTTTTTGGGTTATCCTAGGTTCTCTACACATATGCTGCTATGTATGATAATTCTATGTAACTGTATTTGTGTATACCTGAATAAACTTACTTACTTAAGAGATGGTAATTACAGTGCTTTCACAGTGAGGAAAGGATGAGAATGTTGCAGTATGAAGGGTCATCTGAACTGTAATGTCAGCACTCCTCTGGCAAGACAATGACAGAATGAATGATGGTAAGTTTTTTTTTTTTTTTTTTTTTAGGTCACCCTACCTTAGTGGGAGGTGGTCAGTGTTAAAAAAAAAATTTGTGATAATAATTTAGTGTTTGGTACATTATAAGCACTTCTGTTATAACCTACACATAAATCAATCATTGAACTGGATTGTGGCATCCCTTGCAAAAGCACGTGTATAAAAATTTGTATTATGTATATTATTTTTTTCCAAAAAGTCGGCCGTCTCCCACCGAGGCAGGGTGACCCAAAAAGAAAGAAAATCCCCAAAAAGAAAATACTTTCATCATCATTCAACACTTTCACCTCACTCATACATAATCACTGTTTTTGCAGAGGTGCCCAGATACAACAGTTTAGAAGCTTTTTTTTTTTTTTTTTTTTTTTCAACAAGTCGGCCGTCTCCCACCGAGGCAGGGTGACCCAAAAAAGAAAGAAAATCCCCAAAAAGAAAATACTTTCATCATCATTCAACACTTTCACCACACTCGCACATTATCACTGTTTTTGCAGAGGTGCTCAGAATACAACAGTCTAGAAGCATAAACATATAAAGATACACAACATATCCCTCCAAACTGCCAATATCCCAAACCCCTCCTTTAAAGTGCAGGCATTGTACTTCCCATTTCCAGGACTCAAGTCCGACTATATGAAAATAACCGGTTTCCCTGAATCCCTTCACTAAATATTACCCTGCTCACACTCCAACAGATCGTCAGGTCCCAAGTACCATTCGTCTCCAATTACTCCTATCTAACACGCTCACGCACGCATATACATATAAAGATATATAGCATATCCCTCCAAACTGCCAATATCCCAAACCCATTCTTTAAAGTTCAGGCATTGTACTTCCCATTTCCAGTATATAAAAATAACGAGTTTCCCTGAATCCCTTCACTAAATATTACCCTGCTCACACTCCAACAGCTTGTCAGGTCCCAAAAACCATTCGACTCCATTCATTCCTATCTAATACACTTGTGCATGCTTGCTGGAAGTCCAAGCCCCTCACCCACAAAGCCTCCTTTACCCCCTCCCTCCAACCTTTTCAAGGATGACTCCTACACCACCTTCCTTTCCCTACAGATTTATATGCTCTCCATGTCATTCTACCTTGATCCATTCTCTCTAAATAACCAAACCACCTCAACAACCCCTCTTCAGCCCTCTGGCTAATACTTTTACTGACTCCACACCTTTCCTAACTTCCACATTCCAAATTTTCTGCATAATATTTACACCACACATTGCCCTTAGACAGGACATCTCCAATGCCTCCAACTGCCTCCTCGCTGAAACGTTTACAACCCAAGCTTCACACCCATATGAGTGTTGGTACCACTATACTTTCATACATTCCCTTTTTTGCCTCCATAGAGAATTTTTTTTATCTCCACATATACCTCAATGCACCACTCACCTTTTTTCCTTCATCAATTCTATGGTTAACCTCATCCTTCATAAACCCATCCGTTGACTCATAAACTCCCAAATATCAAAAGCATTTCATTCACTTCTTCCATACTCCCTCTCCAATGTGATACCCAATTTTTCTTTATCTAAATCATTTGATACCCTCATCACCTTACCCTTATCTACGTTCACTTTCAACTTTCTACCTTTACACACCCTCCCAAACTCGTCCACTAACCTATGCAACTTTTCTTTAGAATCTCCCATAAGAACAGTTTCATCAGCAAAAAGTAACTGTGTCAACTCCCATTTTGTATTTGATTCCCCATAATTTAATCCCACCCCTCTCCCGAACACCCTAGCATTTACTTCTTTTACAACCCTACTTTTACCGGGAAGTAATCTCCCTCTCTTCTACACACCCTAACCTGAGCCTCACTATCCTCATAAAAACTTTTTACAGCTTTTAGTAACTTACTACCTATTTATTTATTTATTATTAATTTGGACATGATACATAAATGTACAATGAAATACAGTGGTTAAGTGTAGCATGCGGAAAGCCCCTTGTATGCAGAGCATTATGGGCAGGCTTAAAATTAACTTAAGATTAACTAAGCAATGATATATTCAGTGGTAAAAATTATAGTAAACAAATAACAATTAAGCACAAATGAGTATTTCAAAGACAGGTCATATGGTCATTTGCTGAGTTGCTGTGCATTCAGTAGAATGGAGTATTCTGTTAGGTAATGCAATTAAAAAAAAAAAAAGTTTGATAGGGTCATAGGTTAAACATTTATGAGATACAATTATTCAGTATTTATTTAGTTGTGGGTGAGTGATTTTTAAGAAGAGACTTGAATTTATAAACAGACAGTGTTTCTTTCATATTCACAGGTAATGAATTCCAGATTTTTGGGCCTTTTATGTGCATTGAGTTTTTGCATAGTGTGAGCTGGACACGAGGAACATGTGCCTTGTGTTATGGTCATGTGTTCTGTTGAGGTTGGTAAGGAGACGTTTGAGGGGAGGGTTTATATCCGAGTTAAGTGTTCTATGTATGTAGTAGGTACAATAATAAGTATGGATGTTTTGTATGGTGAGTAGGTTTAGACTTTTGAATATTGGTGGAGTGTGCTGCCTGTAGTGGGAATTTATCATCATTCTGACTGCAGCCTTTTGTTGGGTAATTAATAGTCTGAGATGGTTTATTGTTGTTGAGCCCCATGCACAAATTCCATAGGTGAGATAGGGGTAAATAAATGAGTGATATAGGGCCAGGAGGGCTGACTGTGGAACATAGTACCGTATCTTCAATAGTGTGCCTACGTCTTGGAAATTTTCTTGGAAATTTGTTGTACATGTGTTTGAAATTTGAGTCTATTATCAAGGTGGATTCCTAAGAATTTTCCCTCTGTGAGCTTTGTGATAGTTGATCCATTTATCATTATGTTAAGAGGGACATCTGTAGTTCTGTTTCCAAACTGAATGAAGTAGGTTTTGTCAATGTTGAGAGTAAGTTTGTTAGTCATCATATACTTGTAACATCTGCCACATTGCTCCCCTATCCATTCTATCATATGACTTTTCTAAATCCATAAATGCAATGGAAACTTCCCTACCTTTATCTAAATACTGTTCACGTATGTGCTTCAATGTAAACACTTGATCTACACATCCCCTACCCACTCTAAAGTCTCCTTGCTCATCTGCAATCCTACTCTGTCTTACCTCTCATTCTTTCAATAATAACCCTACTGTACACTTTTCCTGGTATACTCAGTAAACTTATTCCCCTATAATTTTTACAATCTCTTTTGTCCCCCTTCCCTTTATATAAAGGAACTATACATGCTCTCTGCCAATCCCTAGGTACCTTCTCCTCTTTCATACATTTATTAAACAAAAATACCAACCACTCCAACTCTATATATCCTCCCCTGCTTTTAACATTTCTGTTATGATCCTGTCAGTATATCAAAGTACAAAATTTGAATTATCTTGTATTACTTATAAATGTAATGGGTAGAGCAAGAAGTATAGTTAAGTCTGCATCCACTGTCTGTTCACCTAGTTGCAAATAGACTAGCAAATAGGTGTTGCAACTAGGTGGGTTGTATCCTGCAGATGATGATCATTTTTTTTTTTTTAAGGAACCTTGATAAGCCAAGGGCTTCTCTCACCAGACTACTGTTTGGAAAATCTCCCAACTCCTGCCCCAAACATATTGCTGTTTATGCATCGGTTTATGTGCAGCCAGTAGTAACAGCCTGGTTGATCAGGCCCTGATCCACCATGAGGCCTGGTCATGGGCCACACCACAGGGACATGACCCCCCAAAACCCATTTTAGGTATACCCCTCCCTCCAAGTATAAGACAGGGATGTGTGATGCTCCGCATAACCATGGGCATTCTGCATGCGCAATCAAATGTCACTCATCTTTATACAAACACTATCACCTGGAAAAAAAAATCTTTAATTCTGACTTTAATAAATTTATAGTTGGGGTTGTAAAGGAAGTAAATACTATGGTGTTTGTTACAGGTGTGAGATGAAAAGAAAAAGTTTATGCAAAGTGGGAGTTGTTAATTTCTCTTTGCTGATGTCATGACGCTTTTGTGAGATTCTGAAGAACAGTTGCAAAGGATGGTGAATGAATCTTGGCTTGTAAAAAAAGCAAATTAAATGTGAACATAGAAAGAGAAAGGTGATGAGAGTAACAAAAACTTAGGAAATGAAAAGTTGGATATCAGATTAGAGAGAAGGGGGCTGTTGAGAAAGTGAATGCAGCTAGATATTCCTAGTATTTTGGAGTAGACATAATAGCATATGGGTCTATGAGGGTGGCCCATAACAATGAAGAAGGAAAAAAAAAGGCAACTGGAGTATTGGTGTCTGTGGAGAGGCAAAAAGCACCAACCTTTTTAAGTTAAAGGATTGTTTAAATTGTTGTAGGAAGGAGGCTGGAGGCAGTGGAGATGCCATATTTGAGGTGCACAATGTGTGGTGTGAATATTATGCAAAGAATAAAAAAAAATAAAACTTTAAAGATGGTGTATCGATTAAACGGTATTGTTCATAGGGTAGAGGAGGGGCTGTAAAGTTACCTGTAGCTTGGGCATATGGAAAGGATGAAGCATAACAGGATGTAAAGAAAGAAGGAGGGTTAAGGCAGTCCCAGAAGGATTGGAGGGAGGGTGCAAAGGAGGTTTTAAGTGGTAGGATCTTGAGAATCCAGAAGGCATGTGTAAGTTGTTGGAATATTGAGGTGCCGTTGGAGTGTATGCAAGATAACGTTTATGACTTGAGTCCTGATGGGGGGAAGTAGTGAATGCACACTGAAAGAGGAGAGTGTTACAATTCAAAAAATCATTGGAAATGTGATGTCTGCACTTCTGGCAGGATATCTATTAAATGAATGATGACTGTATATGAGCTCTTAAGACTATGTATTTAACATGGGTACCTGCTCTACATAACAGCAAAATTTCTTGTGTGCTACAATAGCATTTTTCTTGTTTTGCTGGGCAGCCCATAATTTTCAATGAAGGGTTTGAGGGGTAAATGAGATTTTAAATGCTAGGGGTTTGAGCATCCAACAGGCTTGTGCTACTGCATTTGATTAGAATGAATGAAGACAAGTGGTTTTATAACTGACATACTGCTGGGCTGTGAGCAAAGTAACATATATGAAGGGATCCAGGGGAAACCAGTTAGCCAGGCTTGAGTCCTGGATGTAGGAAGTACAGCGTTTACACCCTACAGGAGGGGGTGTAGATGCTGCAGTTTGGAGGGTCATCTGAAGTGATGTAAGCTTGCTTTTGGCAAAATAATGATTGAATATACGATGGCTAATGTGTTTCCTTTTCTTTTTTCTTTTTTTTTTTTCATAGTAACCTTACCTTGGTGAGAGACAGTAAGTGTATTAGTGTTAAAAAATATAGAAAATAATTTTGAAAACTCATTATGAAAGAAATGAAATATCCAATATAAAACATTTTTGTTTTCAAGAGTATAGTGAATACTGTGGTATATAATACATCATGTACATGTACCTGTAGTAAATAAAGATATTATTACATGTTAGCTTCAGAATGTGAACCTAGAGGTTGAACTGTGGCTGTGTGTGAAACTTATCAACATTACTTGCCATGGTGAACACAGGACTGATACATTGCATCTGCTTACTGCATTAGTCTACCCACTTCATTCTTGCCTACAAGGGTGCTAGACAATGCAGTGAAAGGTGTATACTGTATACTTAGTCTAAGTTGTATGAAAGTTTAACAACTGCAGAACTGTCACTATCAAACTGTGCCTAATAATGCTACACATATATTACAAATACTGTAATGAACAGATTTAAACAATATGATATTGATAAATGAATCAAAACTAGTCTGTATAATTAACGAAAATAATAACCAATGTAAAACTATGTACTCAAATTTAAGATACAGTATATCAAACTAAAAGTTAAAAAATAAGTGTACTACTGTAAAAAAGGTATACTATACTGTACTATATATGAACACTTTACAGTATTACAGTTAGACTATAACATCTACAGCAGTAATCATATTTACTCACTCCTGAAGCTGGGCAGAAATCTGCCACTTGCAGGTCGACAGCCTGTTGTAAGGTACAAGTCCTTAAAAACTTTATCACATTATACTATAAAATTTCCTTCCTACTATCATTAATGACATTTTGGAGTGGGCACCATAAACTGGACGTGCATCACATAATAAAAAAAAAATAAAAGCAGTAATTAGGGGTTTGTATAAATAGTATACAGTAATTTAAAAAATCTTTGCCCATCTAGTAAAATTCTCAACTTACAATCATCTGCACTTGGAATCAATTTAATGACTGAACACCAATCTGTGGATACTATCTCTACAAATATTCAAACAAATTATTTCAACTGCATTGACAGTTTGTGTATGTTTATGTATACGTAAGGGATGAAGTTTGTTTGGCTGAGACTGATTAAGAACTCTTGAATTAATTAAGATATTGTTAGGATGAATTATACAATAAATGTCTTTACTTGTACTTTGTCTGTCACCTATTTCAAGGGCCCTTCTACCCCTGCAGCCCAACCTAAGGCCAGGCTTCTCTGTTGATAACATGGCCAACTCAGACTGTGCTAATGACCTACAGACCCAAACAGCCATCACAACCTGGCTGATCAAGCACATGTAGAAAGAAGCTATCCAGCTTCGTGAAAACTATCATTTTCATTACAGCAGCATTTGTGATATCAGCTGGTAATATGTTCAAGTCTTGGGCCATGGATGTTGGGGGTATTATTTAATTGTGCTCGTGGCCTTCCTGCTCTTCACTCCATTTATGCCACACTTTCTCCCATATCTTTCATTCCAGTAAGATGTTACAGCAGCGTACAGACAGAGATCAGTCCCTCAAGTACCCTCCATGTACATATATTATCAGGTGTATCTCTCTCCTCTATTCTCAAGAGAATAATCCAAGCTTTGAAGTGTTCAACCTATGTTGTAAGACCTATGTATATTTTCTAGCTCTCTATCCTGCCCTAAAAGGAACTGTAAGAACAGATAAATACTCAAGTTGTGAGAGCACAAGCAATTTGGAAAGTACCATCATTGGCACTGCTTTTCTTGTTGTTGACAACTCCATGCCTCCTTCAGAGTGCAGGCACTATACTTTCCACCTCGAGAACTCAAGTTTGGCCGACCAGCTTCTCTGACTCCCCTTCATAAATGTTATCTTGATCATACTCCAACAGCATGCTAAGTTATAAAAGCCACTTCTCTCCTTATTATGATCTAACATGTTCCCCATGTAGTGTTAGAGTGTTCAGCAGACGTTTGTGGTTACAGGAAAGTGGGTGCGGGAGGAAGAGGAGCGATTGGTGGAATGATGATGTAAAGAGAGTAGTAAGGGAGAAAAGTTAGTACACCTACCATCCGACTTACGACCGAGTTCGGTTCCGAGAAACCGGTCGTAAGTCGAAATGGCCGTAAGTCGAACTTTACTACTGAATATCAACAAAACATTTTTGTAATGACTTTATTTTATTGTTTTATTTTGGTATTTCATGTTTTACTTTACTTTTTATGTTGTTAGTACTGTATTTTATACTGTAAGGTTTAGGATAAACACTGTGTACAACAAAAATAGTTCTTTATTTCCCAGAAATTTGGCATAAAAAACACGGTCGTAAGTCGAGTGGTCGTAAGTCGAGCAGGTCGTAAGTCGGATGGTAGGTGTATATGAGAAGTTTTTACAAAGTAGAAGTGATGCAAGAAGGGAAGAGTATATGGAGAGAAAAAGAGAGGTTAAGAGAGTGGTGAAGCAGCATAAAAAGAGAGCAAATGAGAGAGTGGGTGAAATGTTATCAACAAATTTTGTTGAAAATAAGAAAAAGTTTTGGAGTGAGTTTAACAAGTTAACCCTTAAACAGTCCAAACGTATATGTTTTTTCAACATCTGAAAGTATGTAAAAAAAATGTAGATCTTCTTTTTTGTTTTACATTTGAAAACGTGTAAAAAAAACTTTATCTACATTTTTTTGTTATACTTGAAAATATGTAAAAAAAAAGGTAGATCTACTTTTGGAGCACTATGAATTTGAACGTCGATCTGTTTGGACCGTTTAAGGATTAAGGAAGCCTAGAGAACAAATGGATTTGTCAGTTAAAAATAGGAGAGGAGAGTTATCAAATGGAGAGTTAGAGGTATTGGGAAGATGGAGGGAATATTTTGAGGAATTGTTAAATGTTGATGAAGACAGGGAAGCTGTGATTTCGTGTATAGGGCAAGGAGGAATAACATCTTGTAGGAGTGAGGAAGAGACAGTTGTGAGTGTGGGGGAAGTTCGTGAAGCAGTAGGTAAAATGAAAGGGTGTAAAGCAGCTGGGATTGATGGGATAAAGACAGAAATGTTGGTGCTATTATTTAATAAATGTATGGAAGAGGGTAAGGTACCTAGGGATTGGCAGAGAGCATGCATAGTTCCTTTGTATAAAGGCAAAGGGGACAAGAGAGTGCAAAAATTATAGGGGGATAAGTCTGTTGAGTATACCTGGTAAAGTGTATGGTAGAGTTATTATTGAAAGAATTAAGAGTAAGACGAGAATAGGATAGCAGATGAACAAGGAGGTTTTAGGAAAGGTAGGGGGTGTGTGGACCAGGTGTTTACAGTGAAACACATAAGTGAACAGTATTTAGATAAGGCTAAAGAGGTTTTTGTGGCATTTATGGATTTGGAAAAGGCGTATGACAGGGTGGATAGGGGGGCAATGTGGCAGATGTTGCAGGTGTATGGTATAGGAGGTAGGTTACTGAAAGCAGTGAAGAGTTTTTACAAGGATAGTGAGGCTCAAGTTAGAGTATGTAGGAAAGAGGGAGATTATTTCCCAGTAAAAGTAGGCCTTAGACAAGGATGTGTGATGTCACCATGGTTGTTTAATATATTTATAGATGGGGTTGTAAGAGAAGTAATTGCGAGGGTCTTGGCAAGAGGCGTGGAGTTAAAAGATAAAGAATCACACACAAAGTGGGAGTTGTCACAGTTGCTCTTTGCTGATGACACTGTGCTCTTGGGAGATTCTGAAGAGAAGTTGCAGAGGTTGGTGGATGAATTTGGTAAGGTATGTAAAAGAAGAAAATTAAAAGTGAATACAGGAAAGAGTAAGGTTATGAGGATAACAAAAAGATTAGGTGATGAAAGATTGGAAATCAGATTGGAGGGAGAGAGTATGGAGGAGGTGAATGTATTCAGATATTTGGGAGTGGAAGTATCAGCAGATGGATCTATGAAAGATGAGGTGAATCATAGAATTGATGAGGGAAAAAGGGTGAGTGGTGCACTTAGGAGTCTGTGGAGACAAAGAACTTTGTCCTTGGAGGCAAAGAGGGGAATGTATGAGAGTACAGTTTTATATGGGTGTGAAGCATGGGTGATGAATGTTGCAGCAAGGAGAAGGCTGGAGGCAGTGGAGATGTCATGTCTGAGGGCAATGTGTGGTGTGAATATAATGCAGAGAATTCATAGTTTGGAAGTTAGGAGGACGTGCGGGATTGCCAAAACTGTTGTCCAGAGGGCTGAGGAAGGGTTGTTGAGGTGGTTCGGACATGTAGAGAGAATGGAGTGAAACAGAATGACTTCAAGAGTGTATCAGTCTGTAGTGGAAGGAAGGCAGGGTAGGGGTCGGCCTAGGAAAGGTTGGAGGGAGGGGGTAAAGGAGGTTTTGTGTGCAAGGGGCTTGGACTTCCAGCGGGCATGCGTGAGCATGTTTGATAGGAGTGAATGGAGACAAATGGTTTTTAATACTTGACGTGCTGTTGGAGTGTGAGCAAAGTAACATTTATGAAGGGATTCAGGGAAACCGGCAGGCCGGACTTGAGTCCTGGAGATGGGAAGTACAGTGCCTGCACTCTGAAGGAGGGGTGTTAATGTTGCAGTTTAAAAACTGTAGTGTAAAACATCCTTCTGGCAAGACAGTGATGGAGTGAATGATGGTGAAAGTTTTTCTTTTTCGGGCCACCCCGCCTTGGTGGGAATCAGCCAGTGTGTTAATAATAACAAAAAATAATGTTCACCAAGCCTGTTGGATGTTCAAAACCTATTTTATTCCCTCTTTCCCTCTACCCGTATTCATCTTGCTTTTGCTCCATCCTTTTCCATGTCCAAACCACCACAACTATCCCTCCTCAAACCTCTGAATTATGCATAATATTCATACCACACATTGCCCTCAAACATGACATCCCTACCTCCAGCCTCCTTGATACAACATTTAAAACCCATGCTTCATGCCCATAAAACAGTGGTGGTACCACTACAATGGTATATTTCAGTTTTGCCTCCATGGATAAAGTTCTTTGACTCAGATTTCTCAACACACTACCTACCTTCCTTCATCTCATAAATTCTGTGGTTTCAGAGACCCATCTGTCAACAAATCTATTCTTAATTTACAGTGGAACTTCAAATTTCAAATTTAATCCATTCCAGGAGCTAGTTCTAAAATCAAAAATTTTGAAAGGCAAAGCAATATTTCCCCATAAGAAATAATGGAAATACAATTAATCCGTTCTAGAAACCCAAAAATATTCACAAAAAAATAATTTTATAAATAGTATTACATTATAGCTTTACATACACACAACAAATATAGGAAAAACAATTATTAATAAATTTAAAATAAACATATAAAAATAACATTTTTACTTACCTTTATTAAAGTTTGGGCGAGGGCATCGGGAAAAATAGGGGGAGGAGAGAGGGATTGGGGGTTAGGTTTGGAAGGAGAACCCCCCCTCCAGAGGACTTTAGGAATCAAAGCCCCTCGGGGTTTTCATCCCTCTGTCTTTTAATGCCACAGGGCCAGTTGAGTGTCACTGGACCCATTCTCACAAAAAAACTGTCCACATACTCTTTTCGGTGCCTCTTTTAAAAATTTTCCCCAAAATGGGGCATGGGTTTTGTCACTGAACTTTTGCAAAGATGGCTTGTTTTTAGCTTGGGCAGGGGGACTTCCCAAAACATTTGGACATCATTCCCCTTCTGTATTTTTTCCTTTTTCACATCTATGGTGTTTTTCACTTCTTTCCACAGGACCACGCAAGTTTTTTTGGGCCCT